CAAACCACAAAGAGTTACTGTAGGATGTGTTTATGAAATCTCAGTCATGGAAATAACACTATGATTCTAAACATTTTTGAAATCATATATTGCATGTACTTAAAACCAATTTTCCAGTTGCTTACAACTTATGCTTTTAAAAAATATTTATATCTTAAAATAAAACAGATCATGTTTAAAGGAAATTTAAGCCATAAAAAATTACACTGGGCCATCGTGAGGTTATCCCTTTAGACATTCCTTGAGAGAGATTTGTGTTTTACAACTTTGCCATGAGTCAAGTGTGGTGGCATATGCTTGTGATCCCAACGCTTGGAAGGTAGAGGCAGGAGAATGAGGAGTTCAAGGCCAGTCTCTGCTACACAGCAAGTTTGAGACCAGACTGGTCTATATGAGACCTTGTCTCAAATAAGAAAAGCAAATACCAAAGTTGGTAGTGGTTTGGTCACATTTTCCATTGGGGGAGAAAACGTACCTCATTAAAAGAATTTGCTACTAAATGATTCATTTTCTGAGTTCTGAATACTTAATAATGTACTCTTATAACAAGCAATAGCTGTTAAATTCCTATATTAAAATTTCACAAAGAAGAGTTGATGTTCATTTATACCCAGAAGCACATTTACATTATCCAACATGTGTAATAACATGCTAGGAACAATGAAGGCAGGAAGGGGAGAGGCAGAGCCACCCCACCTCCAGGATGATGCCAAAGGTCCAGCAGTAAGGATTTCAGTGAACTTCCAATCCACTTTGATGTTCATTTATACTCCTACATGGGGCTGAAAGGTATGTCCCATGGTATTTTCATTTATTACTAATAGGACTCTGTTACTTGGTAATCCCTTCTGATGGGAACACAAAAGGGGTTCAGATAGTCTTTAAGGAACTGTACCTTTCTCCAGGCAACAGGGAGACAGTAAATCTGTGGGAAGAAAGGATGCACCAAGCAGGTGACTGATCCTTAGTATCCAGGCTGAAGAAATAACTTCTAGAAACCATGTCCTCTGCTTCAACTCCCACCAGACCACAGTGCAGTCAGCTCGCATCCCAACTCATAGTTGGTCTACTGTAAAACAACATTCTGAGGTTATAAAATATTTAATTATATGACAAGAATATATTTTGTCTTAGGAGGAAAAGAATCATTTCAACAATCAGTCTAGAGCCAAGATTTTAAAAATATCCCTTCTTTACAAGACTTCACATAGTAAATTCCAATTCTCTAGAGAATGTGTTCATTCATTTACATTACTGTACACAGAGTTATAACTTACTTTGTCTTTTTTGTTTTTTTCCAACATAGAACTTGTGCTGGATTGAGTTCTGACATCAAATTCTAGTTGTTTCAATAATATCTCATGTCCTTAGTTTTTAAATAAAAAATATCACTAACTATACTAGAAAGCCCAAGAAGAGTTTGAGGTAAATTTAAATCTTAAAACATTGCTTTCACTGCCTTCCTTATGTGCTATTGTAAACTGGACATTGATTTTTGGTTTAATGTTTTCAGAAGGCTGACAGTTGTTTTCTGGGGAAGCCTGTGGCTAGGTTGGACTTGGCATTAAAGGCTCTAAAGGGCCTGTGCTGTGGTAACCATCTTTGCTGGGGAATTAGTATGATTGAAAGAGTCACATGGAGATGTCTTGGTGGCAATATATTTTTTAATTAATCCTAATAGTCCTAGTGAGATGGCTCAGTTGGAAACAGTCCTTGCTGCCAAACATGACAACTTGAATTGAATCCCTGGTACCCACATGGTGAAAGGAGAACACCAACTCTTGCAAGTTGTCTTCTGATGTCCACGTGTGCAACACACACACACACACACACACACACACACGCTCACACATATGCTCACACTCATGATGAATGTAAAAGAAATTTTTAATTACTCCTACTATTTCACAACACTAGGGGAACTGTTGATTTTCAAATACTATTATTAGAAAGACAAGAATGAAAAAGACAAATATAGTCACTGGATTCTAGAAGATACATATGCAGTTTAATAGGCTTAGGAATCTCAATATTTCTTCCACTCTTCACACTAAATTGCTTTTAGCACTTAGCAGTGTATCATTTTTTGCCTTGTAGCTTTGTAAAAGGAGTATTGGTTCATGAAAATATGATATTAAGTAAATAATAGAACAACCCACAAAGTAGGAAGATATTATGTGTGTGTGAACATAACATTTTAAAAGATGATTATCTAAAGAATATAAAGAACTGTTAGTCAACAAGAAAAAAAGACAGACCACTCAATAGAGAAATGGATAAAGGGAGCTAAAAGACTTCACAAAGGTATTTGAGTCACCTTTTTTCTTTCTGTGACAAAACACTGTGACCAAAAGTGACTTATGGAAGAGGTTATTTTGATCTGTGGTTCCAGAGAGGGAGTCACAGCAACTGGGAGACATAGTAGTGAGGGACTAGAGCAGGAAGTTGAGAGATCACATCTTAACCACACAAAGGAAGTAGAGAGCATGAACTAGAAGTGAGGCAAGGCAATAAATTCCCAACAGCCACCTCAGTTCCTCAATCAAGTCTCCACCTCCTAAAGGCTCCAAAACCTCCCACAAATAGCGCCACCAACAGGGAACCAAGTGCCCAAATACCTGAGCCTATGGGGACATGTTTCATTCAAACCACTACAGTATCCAAATGAGCAACAATATATTTCCATATTATCAAATTCATAAGCCATGAAGGAAATGCAAATTTAATCACAGTATATTATCACTATCCTCTAGAGTGGTTAAAACAATAAAGACAAAAAATATCCTAAGTGCTGTCAAAGTAACTCAAATCTTCACCCATTGCTGGTAGTGACATTAACTGGCTCACCCACCATGGAAAGCATTTTGGTGTTATCTAATATTCTTCTGATCTAGCTATGAGTACATATAGCTATAAGAATACAGTTTGACTTTACTAAAAGACAACTAGAACATGCTTGGCAGAAAGAACCATTTGCAATAACTTTAAACCACACTGGCTACAATCCAAATGTCTATAGGGTAAAATGTCTAAACAAATGTGGTGTATTTAATGGAAGCAGTAATAAGGAATGGTGTATAAGTATGTAGAAGGATGGGGTAGGTTCTGTCAACTCAATATTGAGTGTAAGAAGTCAGACACAAAAGAATATCCACTATGTGATCCCATTCACACACATTATAAAAAGGGGAACTAACTAGTATGCTAGAAACCCTGAAAGAGATTAATCTCATTAGAAAGGAGTGTGGGAGGCTTTCAAGGGTGTGTGATAGGGTTGCTATTTTCTATGGATATCATAGGTCTGTTTAGTTTGTAAAAAATCCATCATGATTTGTACAGGATAAGTATATCATTATGTATTCTATATCAATAGTTTTTAAAGTACTTTTATCTCTCCAGCTTGCATTGTTTAGGAAAACAGCTATTATACATCTTCTATACTCCAAAGCAATAATCATGGAAGATGAGTTTAATCACTGACTGCTATGGTTTGAATGTAAAATCCACCCCCCCACACACACAGGCTTGTGTGTCTTGATACTTGGACTTCAGATGATGGCACTGTTCTGGGAAACTAAGGACCCTTTGGGCAGTATGGCCTACCTATCAGACTGGGTCACTGGTGGCAGGCCTGAAGGTTATGTCCACTTCTGGTTCTGCCATGAGTGTTCTGCTTCCTGGTCAGCCAGGATGTGAAAAGCAGCATTCACATATTGCCACTGCCATGAAGCAACCCCTCTTGTAAGAAGGCATTTCCTGCAGCCATGCCTTTCCCTCTGAATGGGCTGGATCTCCCTTGAAACCAGAGTCAAATTAAATATGGTTCTATTTTAAAGCCTTTAGGACATTGGCACAGGGGTTCTTCCAACTTAATATGGCCCTTCTCAAAGGTCCTGCTCTATGTGAACAAAGATAGGCAGTAAATCACTGTAGGTTAAGGCGTGCCTCTAGTAGCTTCAAAGCCCATTATCATTTAACCTTATTGGGAGGTCCATGAGGAGTCTAGGCAACTCAGCTGTATTTCAGAGACATCCATCCACATCCTTCATTGCTGTTAGCACACTATGTGTTAACATGGAGATATGGCTGGCTCGTCCTAGTCAGAAGTTCCCCACTAATTTGGAGAGTCTACAGTCATGAACCTCCTCTCATTCGGCACTTCTGAGTCAGCAAGCAGAGACCCATGCCTATACTCCCCCCACCAATAAAAAGCAAAGTTACAATGATTTATTTTTAAAGAATATTTTAAGCCTAAAAACTAAAAATTAGAAAAATATGGAGTATCTTTGACATGTCTTCTAGTTCAAAAAAACTGTAAATCTGAACCAAAATTTCCACCAAATCTCCCAGAATTTTTCTCACCTGTTATATAAATGTAGGTAAAACAGACATTAAAACAAATAAATCCTGAAGGCACATGTTTTACTCATTTAAAATGTTGGTGTTACACCTATAGAGAGTAAGTAATCTTCCTACACAGAATGACTCAGAGACCTAGACCGTATCTTTGGATCGTCCTCCAGTGAGGCTTCATTGCCTGATGGGTAGTTAGCTGGAGAAGACTGGGAAACTCATCTTGTGCTTAAAAGATCATCCCTGAAATGACGCACCTGGCTCATCATTGCCAAGAGCTGATCCTAGGGCTGTGCTCCATGCAGAAAGAAGACCTTGGGAGACATGGGTGAAGGCTACGCAGTCACTCCAAGCATTACAGGACAGGAATGGTGGGTTTGGGTAGACACGTGGCCATCCATGGCACAGTCATCTTCCTTAACTGTCTTCCTTGTAGTGAGTTTTAACATTGGACAGGGGAAGAGTTAACTAAAGCTTGATATTTCATAAATACAGTAACAGAGTACAGTGGGCAAAGACAGAGTAGAAACAAAGATGGGGCCAATTATGATTTTTCTCCTTTACTTCAAACCAATTAAAATATTCATAACAGTATATTTATGCATATGAACCAACTAACTGCTTATAGATTATCTCTTGTCTGTTAGGCCCTGATCTAAGTTCTACGAAGAAGGAAGAGGAAGAGGATGAAGAGGAGGGAGAAGAGGAGGAGGACCGAGCTCACAGTGAAGCATGCATACCAGAATAAGGGTAAAAATAAGCTGATACAAAATAGCTCTAAAATATCATATAGCGATGGGCACAATGAGCAAAATCAGAGACATCAGGGAAGTTTGCATGGCACATTCTAATGGGGAAGCCAGGCAAGGCCTGCCAGAGGAGGAGGTGATGAGGTGGCTGTTAGGACGGCTAGGGCAGGCGATGAGGAGGCCCTCAGAGCATATTTTCAAGAAATACCACAGAGTGGTTGACCTCTTTAACAGCTCTGTGTGAGCCACTTTATGCAAGACTTAAGGAAAGAAACACTGGCCAGTGGAAAAAGAATGGTCTCTGAGTATAATGTCATGTCTCAAAGAAAGACTTCTACTTACTAATTTTGTAAATCATGGGTGCATTTGTTCTCTGATTTTTCCTTAACAAGATGATAGTATCAACCTCATTGGGTTACTATGGGGTTTACACTAGACAATGTGTACAAGTTACTAACACTACCTGCTCTGTAACTATTTGTTAAATATTATCATCACTCCTACCACACAGAGTTCTAGGTATGTAAATGAAAAACATATTTTTCTCTCTTTCCATTCTTCTTCAAGATGGACAACTTTCACATCTTGTTAATCATGAACTTCATATTACCATCTCAGAAAACCGATCCTGTCTCCCAGTGATAAAGATGGTAAGGTGGTAAATCAGTCAGGCTTTCCAAAGGAAGGTAGTACCAAGTCAGGGACATTGACACAGCCGAGGCTCAGCTGACTCAGACTGCCTGGTGTGCTGTGTTCAAGCATTTAAGGATTTGATTGGCCAAGGAATTATTGGCTGTGAACAGATTGAAAGTTGAACTTGTAATTAAGTACCTCTCAGCCTTATTCTGTCTGTGGCCACCATTCTTCCATTTTATTTAAGCTCTGACCATCTGTGGGACTGTGGGAAAAGATGAAGTCAGGGAAGTTTTTCATGCTCTCAGACTAATCTTTATGGACTCTCTGCCTGCTTTGTGACTTGAATATGACCAAAATGTTTCTGCATTCTATGGTACATATATTTTGTCTGCTTTGGTGCAAATCCATGCCCAAAATCCCGACTATACTTCTGAGGCTTGGTTTAGTCCACACCCACATGTCTGACTTCCTCCTTCGTGTTTCTTTATATATGATTGAGAGACACCACACACACACACACACACACACACACACACACACACACACACAGGGTGCATTCACAATCCTAGTGTATGAATGAGCTAATGTGTCTTCTCAACTTAGTCTCTAAAGAGCAATGTCCCCAAGGCTCTTTCCTCACCTGTATGTCTTAGGTCTCTGGGGCAGATGTCAGGACTTTCCATCTGCCAGGGAATCCAACTACTCAAGCATGCAATATGCCATAGACTATCAACATTTTATTGGTGTCCGTATCACAAACAGCCTGGAAAAGCCCTTCACAGGGAGCAGTGGCTTTGTCATTTGAGTGACATTTTGACAGACATGTACAGAGCTCATCATCCCTACTTGCAGTCACATGACATTTCCATGTTCTTTGGACCCACCTTTACCACATCCAGGTCTCTGCATCACACACCTGCATGAAACATGTTAGTGACACTTCATGGAAACAGATGATCCAAGAGTGTCTTTGCAATGGTGATATTTGGATCTTGACATTTTAAAAGAGCAGTAGAACATTTTGTCCTCTGGTTCAACAGAAACAGGAGTGAGTCTGCTTCCTGGAAAACAGCTCATGTTTCAGTAGCTGGGCTGCACCCCCGGCTGGCCCTGACAGCTCCCGTCCAGCCCCATGCCTTCTCTCAGCATCAGTCCACGAAAAGATGCTTTCAGGAACATCTGCATTCTCTCATGCGGGAAGACAAGCAGAGCGGACATCCTGCAGAAGGAAATACCAGGACCGACCTGTTGGGTACCAGCAGACCCTGCTCAGGGTTAAATGCGCAGAATCACAGATATGCCCCCTCCATGGAGCAAGCAATTGAAGCTGTAAATGCTGCAGAAAACTTCTGTCGTGCTTTTCATGTCTCCAAATGCCAACCTCCGGTGTGCTGGGGCAGGGTCTGGACTTCATGGTGCAAGTAAAAAATAAACATTCACAGCAACAGTTCTTTCCAAAAACACCTTGAAATTCCTCATGAATCTTGGACTGTGTAGCAGTTGGCTGAGAAAGCATTATGCTTTAAATACTTATTAAGCGTTTAATAAATATCTGCTGAAAATCAACCTAGTTTGAAGTTGGAAACTTACCTGAGAGGTCACCTAGCCTAGGCACAAAGTATCTTTTAAGAAGGTGAAAATGAAAAATTAGCTTCCCTGCCACCAACCGAGAGCCTAGCTATTGTCTTTGAATTCCTCCACGATACCTGGGCTCAGAGGCATATGGGTCCTTTCAATTTTGGCAGTCAAAATTTAATTAATCATATTGAGTTATTATGATACTTCACTCTTTTTGGTCAGGAATTTGCTTTGTATTGTGCATGTTCATACTGAATGTAAGAAAAATTAATATTGACTGATCAATGCTTGTTCTGAGTTTTTTAGCATTTATAAAGAATATAATAAATAAATCTGTGGTGATTATAAAATTATTTTTAAAGATTTATTTTTTATTACTTTTATGTGTATGTTTCTTTGTGGGTATATGTCATGGAAGGGCATGCACAGACATCAGAAGAGGACATCAGATCCCCTGGAACTAGAGTTACAGACAGCTGTGAGCCACCATGCAGGTGCTGGAAACTGCTGAGTCATCACTTCAGCCCACTGTACAATTCTTATAAAATATCAAAATCTATTCAGAAAAAAAATGAAACAAACCAACACTGCTTATAATGTAGGCAAACAATGTCTGTTATCTTTATGTTGACCTTTTTCTATAATAATTAAGGTCTTTTTCATAGTCTCTATTTTGCTCAGTTAACCTTTTTTTAATTATGGGGGAAGGGAATAGGCATGTTAGTTTAGGTACCTGGAGTCTGGAAGAGAGCGTAGGACCACCCAAAGTTGGAGTTACAAGTGGTTGGCTGTATGCCACCTGACAGGCATGCTGTGGACCGAACTCTGGTCCACTGCAAAAGCATTGTGTACTCAACAGCTGAGCCATCTCCCCACTCAGGTAATGTGCTGCCATTGCCACGTGACACAGTGAGACTCCATTTCCAAGATGACCTTTAATGACCCCTGCTTCCTGGAATTCTATTCCTATGTGGAATCCTCCCATACTGTTTCAAGAGTGGTCACTGACAATAGCCTGTGACAGAAATGACAGGTGTCACTCCTGAGAGTGATACAGAAACAACCGTGGCTTCTATATTGTGTTCTTCCCCTCATCACTCTGGGGGTACCAAGCTGTTGTGTTGTGAGGATCCCTGTGATGGGCTCCATGTTTCTGCCACACATGCTTCCAGCCAGCATCCAGAGCCAAGAAAGTCTCTTCAGGCCTAGGAAAAGCCCTGAGAAGCTGTGGCCAGCTGCTGGTCAACAGCTCAGGTAAGGTCCCATGTTTCCCCAGAGCCAGAGGCTAGAAGCCATTCCTGGACCCCAGAGCTGAGGAACTGGAGAGGGGACATGCGCTTCTTATTTTGTCCTTATGCTTTGTTCCAGTGATTGGTTTTCAAAAAAAAAAAAACTAAAGAACCCATATTTTTAAAGACTCATCAAGAAAACTAATTTTGAATGCTGATTATCTGTATATCTGTGTATTTGAGTGATTACTTTTCAGCCTTCTTGTTGGATTTCCAGTCTGACTTCACGTTTTGATCCTTTTACTGCTGTTCTGTGTGTCTTTTGTGCATTGTATGTATTGTACAGGTTATTTTCCTGGCCTCTTAATAGTGAAAACAAAAAACATATTAACCTCACAAGTCCTTTTGATGTTTATTACCATATTTTCTCAATTTATTATAATGAGCAGTCTTATTTAGTTAAAACTTATTGAGTCATGAAAGACAGGTCTGTGTCATGGCTGAAATATATCTGTCCTTGATGCCTCTTATTTTGATCTCTGTTATTTTAAGTACTAATCTAGAAAATATGTATTTCTCTGTATGCCATTGCTTTTCATAATATCTGATGTTATAATACCTGAACCTGCATGTTGTCTATTCACTCTCCATCCCTCTCTGTCTACTGTCTTCCTGATTTTTCCTCAGGGAATGATTCCACCCCATTCCTGGGCTGCCGATCTCTAAGCCTGGGAGTCACCAAGTCATGTGCCCTCTCATCTGTGCTGACATTCGATTCCCTTCTCTCCCCATCCTTTTCCCATCTCCATCCTTTTCCGGCCGGCTCACTGTTAGTGCCCGCCATGGTCAGCAATCCCTACACTTCCTCTCTGTCTCCTCCTCTGTGTCTTATCCTTGCCTATGTTTTGCCATAATGGATCTGTCCTTGGAAGGCCTTGCAATTATTTAATTTTGTCCTATTATTACTACTTACTAATGTCTTATACTTCTGTGATTGCTTTACTGAACACTTCGTTGAATACTTTATGAACAAAAGACCATAATTTTCTCATGATAAATGACTATAGAGTAAATTATCACTGATGACAGTGCAGCCTGGCCTTCAGTGAACTGTCAGTGAACAATGTCAATGAATCATCCGAAATGAAAGTCAAGGCAGTGTCAGAACAAACTACCCAGGGGGAAACTCAGTCCACCTCTTCTTTGGCTTGCCTTGGACATCTAGTCTAGTCAGGTTTGGAAAGCTCCTCACTTCTCTGATTTTACAGTAGATGTGGACAGACAGCAGGACCGGTCATAACTGCACCAGCATGAGCCAACCAGGAAAAGTAGACCACTAAAGACAAGGAGTCACGTTCCTATGTCTCATAATCACTGCCCAAACTGGACTGCCAGCCATTGAGAGAAGGAGTCAGCCATCACTAAACAAATAGCAATGTTCGTTGTTTTTTAACTACTATATGTGTTTTTCATGGAGAGAAAATACTGACTTAAAATTAGCTTTTCAGCATCTGATAGAATTATCATATCATTTCTGGGTCATGAATTTTGTTGACTAAATTTCCCCTCGAAAGAACTAAAGGTAGATAATACAGGCATGTATATTTTATAAATACTTGTTGGAATTTAACATACTTAATGTAGCAGCCTTAATCAACTAATTGATATTCGAATGAAGTATACTTTAAGTTATGCCTTCATTTTGGTGTGGTGGAGCACACCAGCAATCACAGCATGTGGGAGATGGAGGCCAGAGGATCCCAAGTCCAAGGCTGGCCACGTTCAGCAACACAGTGAGTTTGGGGTCAACCTGAACCCTGGAAGATCCTGTCTCAAAAAACTAAATAAATAAATAAATAAATAAATAAATAAATAAATAAATAAATAAATAAATAAACTTTCTCCAGAACTAAAAACAAACAAACAAAAAAATAACATATTTAAAGTCTCTGGGCACAAAGACAATTGCCAGAGTCCAAAAGTGAATCGTTAAATCTGGAAGCTGTTTCTACTTAGTCCAAAGCAACTTTTCCTTGAACAGACAAAGTTCAAAGAACATATTAGAGTATGATTCCCATTTTGTTTGGCTTTTGTTATCTAAGTCCTCATTTTTCACTCTCCAAGTTAGCATAGAACATTTTTCGAGACAGCTCCAACATTCCTGACATATTTCTACAGAGGGCCTTTGGTTGAAGCCCCTAACCACATGACAGAGCATTTTGTGCATACTTTATTTAAAATATGATCCATTATCATAGCTGCTTGTTATATGTCACAGAACTCAAGTCTTTACATACATTTTTGCACGTCACCCAATGCTGCCTTATTCTACATTAAGATAATGGAGTTCAGAAGATATATATACATACACAGACACACACACATACACAATTTGACCAAACTCACAAAGTACAAAGCAGAAATGGGCTGGTTTCTAGCAAGTTCTCAAGTTTCAGTGCTGTTTTTTCCCATGGATCGTTGTCTACTCATTTGATATCAGATGGACAGATGAGCTTAGTTCTTCTAAGGTGTCTCCCACGACTTTGAACAAGCCATTATCCATGAGAAGCCTAGTTTATTAAGAAACACCCTCACATAGCCCCGACGATACCCTGCCTCTGTGTGTTCTGCACTACTGGACTTGGCTTCTATATTTAGTGTCCTTCAAGGATGCACAAGATTGTTTATCCCAAGGCATTTAACTCCTTTGGTCTCACCTTGTGGTGCCAGCTTTTGCTAGGATGGGTCTATGATTTGTCTGCATGGTTTGAACATTTTCAACACAGACAGGGAACTTCAAGAATATCCTGCCATTCCTTAAAGCTGAACCTTCAGTTCCCAAACATCAGCTCCTCCTAGGTCTCTTTAGTGGTGTGTGCCTAATTACAGATGTTTGTCCTTCAAAGGAAACTGCATGTTAAGACAATGTTCCATTCTTTTTTTTCTTTTATTAAAAATAGATTATTCTGTTATACAATACATCTCAACCACAGTTTCCCCTCCCTCTACTCCCCCTATTTCCCCACCACCTCCCCTCTCCTCCAGATCTACCCCCACCTCCATTTCCTCTTTAGAAGAAAACAGGCCTCCAAAAGATGACAGCCAAACTGGACAAAACAAGACACAATAAGACAAGGTGAAAGCCCTCATATTAAGGTTGGCCAAGGCAACCCAATAGGAGGAAAAGTGTCTCACGATCAGGACAAAGAGTCAGTGGTAAGACTTCCATTCTTAAAAGTAAGTAAGATCACAGTATCACAGTTGATGTTTAGTCATTATTTCCACTCCTTCTCTCCCACATCACCCCTAACTCTGTGTCTCTTCTTACCTTGGGGCCACCTTAGTGTCCAAAGGAAAAAAAATAGGAATTTCCCCATGTCCAAGCCAAGTTCTTTGTTAATTACTGTCCCTCCCCCTTTGGGGGTAAAGGGTTACTCTCATAAACTTGGATTTGCATTAGCAAGTAGAATCCCTATATCAATTCTAGGCCTTCTATTTTGTTCACTGAAGTTATTTGAATAGAAAAAATAAGTACATCCAAAATATAGATTCAGAATAACATTAATAATGACTCAATACTTAACTAACACTTTGCAGTTTACAACCAACTTCCATAGAAGAAGACACATGAGTGCCTCACATTTGAATTATTTCCTGATTCTCACCACAGCTCTTCCAAGTGTGTCCTATCTCTACTTTTGAAACGATGAGACTGGGATTCAAAGAGGCTAAGTAACTTGCCTAGTAGCACACAGCTTGAGGATTCCAACTAAAAATACTGAGACTCAGAGATCAAAGGCAACTTCTGATAAGCTAGCCTGCTAACATGCGCTCAATGTTACCTACAGCACAGTTCAAACCATGCATCTCGTCACCTGGACAGTGTCTCATTTTACTAGGCACAGTTTTCTCGGGGGAGCGTGAGTGCAGAAGCACATGTGTTTTTCTCCTATTACTTCTTTATCTCTGAAGCCTCATCTTTAAAGATCTTCCAGTATACATAATAATGTATCTCCTGGATTTTCCCCAAATGTCCAAAGGAATCAAAAACTAGTTCAGAAATGAGTGCTTTAGTGCCCAAGGAGATGAATAGCTCGTTTCCTACCCCAGA